GTCAATCATATCAACAACCCATGGCATGTCTTCGTCGCCATAGTTGTGCAAGATGATACTGTCGTTTAATTCGAGAGAATGCTCTGGAAGATTAAACCACACATCGACAGCACTCCAACTGCACAGGATTTGGATCTCTTCTCCACCATCCTGAGTTGAAAGCCAAGCAGCTCCTGTGTTTTTCTGAAACGGATTGGAAAAGAGTCAATGCTTGCACTCCAATTGCAAGACATTGGGCACGCATATATAGTATTATCACACGCAGAAACTCCAGAGCCGTGGGAAAGCTTGTTCTGAATATCTGAATTCTATTGCAAGGATCCAACCTTTTAAGCAGTTCTTCACCTTGAGAACGCGAGATCAAATAGCCAGGAATCCTGCCAAAGTCAGCTGCAAACGAAGGTAAGAAAGCTAGGGATGCTAGGGTAGAATTCGCTAGAACAGGACCTTCAAAGCATTGCGAAGTTTTCGTTCTTTCCAGATTTTGTGACGCCTCGCACCCAACTCCTGGGATTTTCAAATGGCCCTGGAACTGCAAGGATGGCAGTTACCTGGAACGGTGCAGTATCAAAGATGAGGACGGCTCCAGCTCCTGCTGCTTCCGCAAGTAGCACCTGAAATTGGCGAAGCTAAACCGCCTTGGTAAATTTGGTAAACCTCAAAGACTTCGCACCTGAAGTGACTTGACACCTGAAGTCCTCGCACTTGTTCGACACCACTTAGAATATGAACTAACATCAACTAACCACAGCACTGCAACGACTGCACCCGGCTGCGCCCCAGCTGCGCCCCTGGCTGCGCCCGACCCGACCTTCCACGAAAAGTAACAACCTCCTCTTTGGAGTAGCACAATGCTCCCACCGAAGTTCAATTTGTGCTCTGTGCAGCCCAAAAGATTCTCAGCCTCTCAGAATATCCGAGATCATGTGGGGTTGCATCAAAAGGATTCAAAAGGTATAGTCCACAGTGTCTTGAGAGATCTATAGGATTGAATGCACTAAAGCCACAAAAAGAATATGTTGATTCAACATCTTTTGAGATTACCGTTTCGAAGCACCTTTGCTACAAAACCTCTGCAAAAATGGTTGTAACACTGCTCCCACTGCTCCAAGCTGGTATCCTCGGGGAGCTTCAGATCGGCTGTGATCTCCGACAAATTCACCGAAGATTTGGCGCGACTGGGAGGACTTGCGGCCCTTGCGGCACTCTGCAGTGCTTCTTGCGCTTCTTGCGTTTCTTGTGCTTCTTGTGCTAGTTGCACTCCGTCTCTGTCGAGCAGCACTTCCCACTCAGCAGTGGCACACGGTTCAAAGTAGAAGGGGAAAGGGCTGCCAGATATCACCTGCGGAGAAGCCGTTCCGAACTCATCATGTACTCTCGGTTGTTCTCAGTACATGCTATCATCCAGTGCCTCCAGTGGTCTTGTGTGCACTGAATACTGACTCGTGCCCCAGCATGTCCCAGCAATACAGAAAAAAAACAACACTCTTCTCAGTCTTCTCCTGCGGCCCCCCAGTCCCCCCGAGTCCTCAGCACAACCACTCCATCTGTTCACAGCCAGCTTCGGATCTGCCACTACCGCGAATGCCATAGAAAGTGCCAGCCCCAGCCATGGCATGGGGCATGGTTGGGAAAATTCTTCGCAGTCAACGTCAAAGACATGCAAAAAAAGAGAAGCATGCTAAAACTCGATGAAACACCTTCAAACATCATGAAACTTGTATTTGGCATTCGATTTGCCGGAAGTGCCGCATTTTCTGTTCGTGTGGTCTGCGATCTGCATACTTCCAAATGTTGTTAATTCCTCTTGACTCTTGTTAACAACCTCAGGCAAAAAATGCTTGCATGACATTGACATTGTCCATTTATGCACTTTATTTGATTATACTATTATACTGCCATGCACTTGCTCCGCTTCTGAGCAAAGGCTGCAGAATCCCTCCACCTAAATCTGGAACCCCACACTGCAAATCTGGACAAGTCCCTTGGCTTGCTGATTCTGCAAGGCAATAAACCGGTCAGGATGGCCACACAACTATGACAAACATGATTCAATAACTTATATAACTTCACTATCCTCTCAACTACTATCCCCAGACCCTAGGAAACTTCATTGTAGACCCTGGATCTAGGGTCTAAAGTGGGGTCTGGAATGATAAATACCTAGGTGATTCCAGAAACATAACGGAACCATGCTAGACCTTACCTAGGGGTCCGGGAACTTGCACATAACACAGCTATGATACTGGAAGGCTCAGAGAGGTAACTTCACTTTAGACCCCTGGGCCCGGCATCTCCGGCAGTAAGCTTAACATCAAAGCTTGAAGTACCTTCCCTCAGGAGCATATCTCCTATATTCTCTTATTTAAGGGTTATATTGTGGTTATTTCGAGACTATATTGATTTAGTATTAGTCTATTTGTTTTACATGCAGATGGAATTCAAATTAACAATTTTTGGGTTATACAATAAACATGAATAAATATTTGTCACACGCTGGTGCCTTAAGATTTCCTAACATAGGGGGTAAGTTTAAAAAACCTGATTTTTCTCGACTCGAGTAAAACCAACTTACCCCAGAGTTATCCTGAACTGTGTCTACCCACAACTTTGAATAAACCAATCCCAAATATCCAAATCTTGCCATTCGACCATTCCACCGAGGGCAGTTTGAAAAAGCTCTGATTAACACGACGCATCCTGACAGCTTCCATTGCAAAATGCTCGCCTTGCATTTTTTCCGCCAGATAGAATTATTTCCACCTTCGAGGTATTTTGGGGTTGGATGTGTAATTATGTGATGTGACCCAATATGTTTTTCTTATCTTTTCCTCATCTTCATGGGTCTGAAATGGTTTACCACATCCTGAAACCAGAAATATTCACCACAAATGCTATGGGAACATCATTTCAGACCCATCAAGATGGACCATTCCCAACTATACAGAAGAGAAACCATCACCATCAACATATCAGAAAGAATGTCAGAAGATATGCCAGATAGAATGTCAGAAGATATGCCAGATAGAATACCAGAAGATATGCCAGATAGAATGTCAGAAGATATGCCAGATAGAATGTCAGATAGAATGCTAGAAGATTTGGCAGATAGAATACCAGATAGAATGTCAGAAGATATGCCAGATAAATTATATTTTCATCTTCATGGGTCTGAAATGGTTTACCACATTCTGAAACCAGAAACATTCACCACAAATGCTATGGGAACATCATTTCAGACCCATCAAGATGGACCATTCCCAACTACACAGAAGAGAAACCATCACCATCAACAAAGATATCAATGATATGTGTTAATACCAATGGGTATTTGATTTGGAATCATTCCAACCTTCCAGGTATTTTGGGGTTGGATGTGTAATTATGTGATGTGACCCAATATGTTTTTCTTATCTTTTCCTCATCTTCATGGGTCTGAAAAGGTTTACCACATCCTGAAACCAGAAATATTCACCACAAATGCTATGGGAACATCATTTCAGACCCATCAAGATGGACCATTCCCAACTATACAGAAGAGAAACCACCACCATCAACAAAGATATCAATGATATGTGTTAATACCAATGGGTATTTGATTTGGAATCATTCCAACCTTCCAGGTATTTTGGGGTTGGATGTGTAATTATGTGATGTGACCCAATATGTTTTTCTTATCTTTTCCTCATCTTCATGGGTCTGAAATGGTTTACCACATCCTGAAACCAGAAATATTCACCACAAATGCTATGGGAACATCATTTCAGACCCATCAAGATGGACCATTCCCAACTATACAGAAGAGAAACCATCACCATCAACATATCAGAAAGAATGTCAGAAGATATGCCAGATAGAATGTCAGAAGATATGCCAGATAGAAAACCAGAAGATATGCCAGATAGAATGTCAGAAGATATGCCAGATAAATTATCTTTTCCTCATCTTCATGGGTCTGAAATGGTTTACCACATCCTGAAACCAGAAATATTCACCACAAATGCTATGGGAACATCATTTCAGACCCATCAAGATGGATCATTCCCAACTACACAGAAGAGAAACCATCACCATCAACAAAGATATCAATGATATGTGTTGATACCAATGAGTACTTGATTTGGAATCATTTCCCAATATGTTATTATGCGATTCGCAAGCATTCATCAAATATGTTATTCGTTTATGTGTGTAATTATGCACCATTATGAACCATTGCAATCCATTACATAAAAAATAACATCGCCATTTTACCATCATCTTGTGACAACAAGATTGCGCCTTATGTCTCCACTGGTTGTGGTTGATTGATGTTGGTTGTGGTTGCTTGGTATGCGTTTGGCAACCTTTATTAAGGTTCCAAGGATGCAAAGGGTTTAAGATGAAGTTCCCTATGCAAAAGCCAAAAGGTCTAGAATGGATTTCCCTCATGATAGTAAGGGTCTAACATGGTAGGAGGCAAAAGGTCTACAATGATTTTCAGACCATCTTAGACCTTCCATCTTGGGAGCCCTAGGCAAACCATCTTAGACCCTCTAGTAGTTGAGGGGATACTTCACTAGTAACTTTGATTCATGTTGTACTCATTTTTAGGCTCGAAACCGCCCGTTCATGGGCAGTCTGTCCACAATCGGCTGTACACAGCCAGAGGCCTTGACCTCTGCTCCACGGAGCCGTCGAACGTGTCGACGAGTCGACGTGTTGCGTGATGACAGGAGTCATCACGTCATAGCCACGATAGCCATGATAGCCATATATAGCCATGATAGCCATGATAGCCATGATAGCCATTCGCTTGAGAAGGCCCAGCCGGCATGTCTGTTGTTGTTCAATGAAGCAGTAGAGTCTCAGTAGAGTATCTAGATAGGCAGCAAATGGCAGCAAGGCTTTGGAAAAAAGTATAAAAAAAAGTTGTCTCATGTTCTCTTCTCTCAGGTCAACACAACCAGTGAGTCTCTTTGAAGGCCATGCTTCATTTAGAATCCATCTGCCTCCGACCCTCACTTCAACCAGCTCGCTTCGGAAGGACCTGATAGCGGTGAAAGCGGTGCAAGCCATGATGAACGGCGATGAAGAATTACACAATGAACAATTGAGGCAACCTGAAACGGCTTCCACGCAATTCAAGTCGATCCCTACGGAAATACCCACGCCGAAAGAAATACGCCGAAACAAATAGGGAGATACTGATGGATACCGGGGATAAGGCGCCAAGGAATTGATCCCCGGGTCTGAGTGAGCTACCGATGACGAAATGTTTATCATGTTTCATCTCAAAGGTCTTGCCATCGAAAGTCACCTGCAATGCGTTGGAGAATTCAACTTCGTTCTTTTCAGGTACAAGTAGCCGCGTTGACTTGCAGCCAAACCAATGGATATTGATATAGCTGCATGGTTCCTGATCATGTCTTTGCAGCATCTTGCAGCTATCTCTGCATTTATTCAGTACATGGCCATGTGTCGTCAAGGTTTTTTCTGTCTGGCTATAACTGTTTTCTGTGGTTTCCTCTGTGCTTTCCTCTGTGGTTTCCTCTGTGGTTTCCTCATGGCCCACGTCTGCCTGGCCTTTGCTGTGTTCTTTTTGCAGAACTGGCTTAGACCCTCCAGGTCGAAGGTCTGCAAATACCTCAGCTTGGGTGCAAGCTGCCAGGAGGTTCAAACAGAAGCCTCAGATTCTCCATACTCTCCGAATACTCTCCCAATTTTTCACGTTTTCAATGTTTTCATGTTGACGTTAAAGCATGTAAAAGCACATGTCGAGTATATCGTTCAGAGCAAATGACGTGCGCAGGATTCAAATGGGGTCCGCCGTTGGCGTTCGCGCTCCAGGAACCCAACCCTCGGCAAGCAGCTTCAGCAGCGGGATCATTTTTCGTAAGCTCCTGAAGGCAAACCACACAAAAAGCCACACAAAACATCACAAAACCACAAAGAAAAGCCAACTCCACAGCCCAGTTGGACGTCCAAGGATACCACTGCCGCTCAATGTTTATTCACAGTCTCATTGTCTCAATATTCCTATCTCAATAGACTCTCCAAGTCAGCTAAACTACATCAACGTCATATCAACGTCGTAAACCCCAAAATCGAAAGTGATCATTTTGATTCATTTTGGGATCTTCTTCTTCCTTGCAATAGAAGAACATATCAAGTCATTAAGTCATTACTCAATAGTTACCCGACATGTCGGATCAAACGATTCCAGAAAGGATGAAGTTGATGAAGTCTCCAAAAATTCTCCAAAAGACCTGCCTTCATTGCCGAAGGATTGAAGAAAGGACCACGGACCTCGCAAGGGAATTGGTGGGAAGTCGGATGAACTCGGTTACCTTGCCGGAATGAAGCCTTCAGATGTCACTAAAAAAAGTAATCGGTCCGCGTTACTCCAGCATGCTTAGTGATGTCACTTCTGAAGGAAAGGTCAACCGCTTGGGACTGTTGCGGTGATCGACACCACCAATTCATCGTCGTCTTGGATCACAAAGCTCTCTTCGTTGACGAGCACCTCAATATCTTCTATCTAGACTCCAGATGCAACTATGACCTTTGACATCTGCGAAAGAAAGAGGAAACAATATCGTGCCTTTATTTACAATCCATGTCGCCCATCATCATCATCATCATCATCATCAATCATCATCAATCATCATCAATCGTCAATCATCACTCATCACTCATCACTCATCACTCATCACTCATCTTGCGTCACTCGTTACTCATCACTCGCCACTCGCCACTCATCATTTGTCATCATTCTCATTGTTCTTGCGTTACGTTGGCCGGTTCCTAGAAGGAACTGGAATCTAGAGACGTGGGATGGGAACAACTGGCTGATCACTGATATCACAAATGCCGGCCTCGTGTCCTTGACGCGTGCTAGAATCCCAAAGCCCCCTGAAAGCAGCAAGAATACTGCTGTGTGCACTGTGCGCAGACAATATCTTGAAATCGAAAAACCGGAAAAGCTGAAGAATTGTCTCAAGCTGTGCAAATGCCGCTGTGACTCAGTGTGACTGTGCACCTTCTGAGGAGTTTGATGATGTAATCCCGCTTGGCTGTCATGGACTTTCGGACAAGGCCTTTGCTCTTCTTGCCAGGTCTGACCTATCCACAGTTTCCAAACGTGAATCTCTCATATTCAACCAATTCAACACCTGTTTTCCAATCCGTGTCACTCAACACCTGTCTGCCACCATCTAACAACCCGCAGGGTTTTGTACCTCTGCCCACATGTCAACAGGATCATCCTGCATCAATTTCGTGTCCTGTCCAGCATGGCAAAGCAAACGACATCAAACGACTCTTCCTCATTTTATCTCGGCACCAGAAGCTCCATGACGTCAATGATGGGAGTGACAGAAATTGACAGAATGATAGCGTAACTCGCTTTCTTGAGAGCAATCTGGAAGTCGTCTGTCCTTTCGCATCTTCTGCACCTTCAGGGAGACTTGTGCTTTGGATTGCTTCGAAATGAATTGAGAACAATGTGGTGCACTTGTTTCAAGGCATTGGAAGAAACGAATGGAAACGACTCTGTTCCTCTTGGATCATTCATTCCTTTTATGGAGACTGGTGGCACTATGAATCTACATCTCCACCAATGGGCTGGACACGCTGAATTGATTTTGGTGCAGCGCCTTGTTCACAATGTCTCTTGCGACCGCCATGAGTTTTAGGTCCTACGGATGAGACACTCACAAGATCACAAAAGTCCTCGTGCCTATCAGGTAAGAACTGAAGGAACAGACCGCAAAGCAGCAGTTTCTTGAGAGATTTGTTGTCCTCATCTTCTGTAAAATCCAAAATCACCTGGCAAATATCTCGCTCAAACAAAGTCTTTCTGAGAGAGACCCCTAGCCTGTGTCTCATCATCTCCATTGACATCCAGATTGGGATTGTCCAAGTCCTGACACTCAAGATACTGCAAAGATACTGCAAAGATACTGCAAACATACCGTAAAAATATGTAAAAACTCTTCAAATGCTTCGACTCTGCAGCACGCTGCTGATCTTTGATCGCTGATTTCTGAAGGTTCTTCCAAAATGCCTCACCGCGGGTCTCTTCAAGCGCGCTCCTAAAGCAGGCCCACAAAAGGTACCATCTTTGAAGGCACGGTAGGTTGGACGCTGCAGTAATTCTGCGAGTGTGAATTCAGTCACGCTGAAACCCCAGCCTGGAGAAGCAATTCAACCAGTCATATTATATTGTTTTCGAGTAGTTTTTACAGATTGTTTGGTCTGCTTCTCCATCAAATCCATAGGTCAGGTTCTGAAAACAATTTAGAAGACTGCCAAAGGCAAGACTTTGCCAAAACTGCATGAATTCAAGACTTCTTTCAGAAGTCAGAATGGTAGGAGTCAAAATGTCGCTTCTAAAAGGCATTCCAGACCTCAACAGGAAGCAATCGCAACACAGCAGTCGTACCAATAGGTTCTTGCATACCAGGTTCGGCGGAGTCAGCTTGGATTCTTGGGCACATCTGAGCTCCACACATGATTTTGTGGCGAAATACTTGCAGAATTTGCAGAACTCAAAGAGGATCAATCCTTCACTTTGGTGCAAAGGATTCAATCAACGTGCTTACCGACTCTGAAGACTTGGCATCCCACCTCCGCCATTCCCATCTATGTTCTGGAATGTTCTGGAAGTCCTTCTGAATGACCACCTTGGACCTCACTTTTCCCATCGCATGCTGGAGACGCTTTACGTCATTGTAAGTTGCCTGGCTTCGTTCCATGCAGCAGGAATCAGGCAATCTCTACGCAGCTTTCAAAGATATATACAGAACGCCAACAGCTTAGAAACAAGACAAACTCCGGGCGGCATCGCATACAGTGCATTGAGGTGCCCTTTGGCAGGTGTGCATTTCTTTTGCATTGCTTTTGCATTGCAAAATTGTATTGATTCACTGCTCTTGAAGCTAAGATCCGAGCATTTTTGCACCACTTGACCTCTGTATAGGTAAGGCGACAGAAGGTCCTTTTTGACGCTCTCCAGCCACATCGACCTTGGAGATCACAGGGCACAGGAAGCGTATGGTGCAAAGTTGGGAAAATGAACTCTGAATGGAAGAAAAGCGAGAAAGTCTACGTAGCGTCTATGCAGTGCATGCATGCTGCCTTGGCCTGTGAATGATATGTGAAATAGATTGAAATAGCTTGATCTGGCTTGGAAGCTGAATTCTTTTGACGCTCTGAATTACGCTGCAAATTCATCAGACACCAGTGTGGGCGCGTTGCCATATCTCCGTGAGTGGCAAACCTGTCCTTCAGGTGTGAAGAAAAGCTTCCTTGTCAAGGACTGGCCACAAAGTGGCTTGCCACGAAGTCTAGAGAGTCTAGAGGCAGCGCATCACTGAATTTGGACTTTTATGGATTTTTCCAATTGGGTCATCAATTTTGATGATGATTAAAGCAATCCTTGCACTCATTTAGCATTGAAGCTCAGCACAGCCTTGCAGGATGGCAAACAAGGCAAAGGAGTGGACGTGCACTGGGCATATTCAATGAGACAAACGGCTTTGTCAGTGAAACCCGACTGGAATGCGAGACATTGAGAAATATGTTGAGAGATTATAATATCTGTGATATTGTATAATTATATACAATATAAATATAGTATACACAAATATTGATATTCGGCATAGCCATGCCACAACTGTGTGCTTTCAGTGGAGTGCACAGTGAACACCGTGCCTGTTCCTGCTACCGCCAGCGAGGTAAAGAACCTGTTTCCTGCACATCAGCTTGAATCAGCAGTGGGTGCATTGGATCAGTACCAAAATCAAAGCAGTGTTGGTTAAAAATCAAGTGGAAATTGTTGGAAACTCATCTGGAAATTGATTCATCAACGACTCATAGATCTCACATATCTCACCACTCAAAATTCGGGTCCAGGCCACACCAAATCTTCCCGCCTCTCGGGGTGTCTCTCGTGCCTCGCGCGCAGCCTGTGCAAACAGAGCGCCACAGGTGACATATCCCACCTATTCCCACCTTATCCCCATCAAATGCTGAAAGGTTTCATGTCACACACGAAGCCTCTGGGCGGCGTCGCATTGGAGGCGTCAAAGAACGTCCACGAGCTTTGGGCTCCTGCAATCAAAGACACAGAATGACCTCTGTTTAAACATGTGGGGCTATGCACTGGAAGACATGCCTACGCCGTGGCTGATTTTTCACCGATTCTCTTTTGATCTGTCAAGCTCTTGCCTCTGCCAGCTTGCATGCTTGCTCGTACTCCAGCATATCCAAGTACCACCTACCAAAAGCCAGCATTGGTTGAGCTATGGGTCGCACATGGTAGCAAACATTAATAAGATCAGAACCGCTGTTAAGGTGTACTGGGTTCAGAATCAAGTGAATTGTCAGTGAAACAAAGATTCATCGATCATCATCGATCTATCACCACACCTTGGGGGTGAACATGCAGTCTTCTCCTGGCAAAAGGCATTCGCGCATCCGGCAATGTCTGGCACAGTTTGTTCGGCTTTGTTGTTCCGTTGCCTCTTCAGCGAAGGTGACGTGCTTCCCACCCGTTGCGAATGTGGAGCCAAACTCCTTGCAGCAAATACGGTAGGATTCAGGATATTTCACAACAACCACAGATGAGAAATGCTATGAACATCTATGAACTATCATCTAACGTCATTTAACATGATCTAACATGATCTAACATGATCTAACATGATCTAACATGATCTAACATGATCTAACATCATCCATCTAGCAAAAGATCTTAGTCCTTCCAACCGACTATTTTGATCCCGCGTGTCCTGCTTCCTTTGCAAGCGAACCTTGAAATCTGTGGGCACCCTTTTCAGCACGGTCCTGACCTGTCAATATGCTTTCTGGGTCTTCCGGCAAGGAGGTGTCAATTGCAGCGCACTGAAACTCGATTTAGGGACAAAACAAACTATATAAGAGTACCCACTTCAACAAGGCACTAAGTCCAATGGAAGCAACAAACTTCATGCAAAAAGTCTGGCCAACGCTTTACCTTCACTACCTGTACTTTGAGCTTTGCTCAAAGCATGCTTGCCAGAAGCATGAAAGAGAAGCACCTGAGTCCCGTTGTACAGAAAGGTCCGTGAAGGACTGCGCATTTTTATGTCTGCGTTGCCCAGCCGGACCTTTGCGTACACGGTACACGCATCCATGTCAGATCCTAGAAGTTCAAGCACATGCAAAGCATAAACCTTTTAATCAGAAAGAACAAATAAAGAAAATGAAGAATGTTTGCAAGTCCTCTTTGCTGTGCATAATAAATGAGGAGGGCACCTCCATGCGATCTGCCAACGGGCTTCGGTTGATTGCCCACCGATCTGGAGTAAGCAGCCCGTCTCTGGGAGTGATGATTTTCGTGGGGCTCATGTGACTCACATCAGCAGATGGCTGCTGTGAATCCTTCTCTGGCTCATTGTTGGTGCGGTCAAGGAAGGGTGCCCTCACTGGAAGGATCTCCAAGAGATTCTTGTCTTTCAGCATCTTTCCTGGAGATGTCTGCAGACTGGTCTGCTGATTTTCGACCATCCGAGCAGGCACGGGCCGCTGCTTCGCAGGTGTAGTTTGCCGTGCATCAGCCACTTTAGGGTTCGGTGCAGTTGTGGGTGCTGCGTTGCCCGTGTTCGCAGCGTTACCTGCATTTGCAACTGCCACACGCGTAGGCTTTGTCCAAACGCGGGGACTGATGGTCCGCCCTATCTCTGTCGCTGCTGCATTCGCTCGACGATCAGCTAGGCGATATTCACGCACTTTCTCCTTGCGGCCGAAAAGAATAACAAGTTAGGCACAAAAGCATACAAAAGTAATCAACAAGTTAGTTACAGCAAATTTGCACGGAAGTAATTCTTCCAAAAATGGCTTTGCCTCGACTGGCAGATGCATGTCCCTAGAAAACAAACAAAAAGAGTCCAGAAACACCAGTCGTGCCTCACTGCCAGTGGAATTCCAATGGAATCCAGCCAATCTTTACACCAGGATTCTCAAAGGGAATCGCTGCAGTAAGATGATACAACATGATACAATAAAAACTGGCACAACAAATCCCAACATGTTTTGAACATGCAACGACTGGAACAGCAGCGACAGCAACAGCAGCGGCAGCAGCAGCGGCAACGGCAACAGTAACAATCAACTCTGGCAGCGACAACCACAGCCACAACCATGCCACAACCATGCCACAACCATAGCCACAGAGCCAAAGCTTGTCACACTGCTTTCATACAAGTTCACAGGTCTTTTGACTGCAATCATCTTTGTTTCTCCGGTGTTTTTTTGGTTTCGCCAAGCACTTACGACTTGAAAGTCAAGTTTGCGCTTGTTTCTTCTGCTTGACTTTCCGTCGTCTCCTCTGCTTTCGAGCGAAGTTCTTGCTCTTTGATCAGCTCCCGTTGACGCTCGCGTAGCTGTTCATTGAGCTGCGAGGCCTGTTGCTTCTGCTCTGACTGTACCTGAAATGCGGAATCTGCAGGACCGCAATGTCTGGAAAATAGTTCAAAGATATTCAAAGAAGCGGTGACTCAAGATGCTGTTAAATCTGTTAATCAAAGGAATGAACTGTTCTTTCCAGACTCAACCAGTGATTCGGTAAGGCTGGCCTTTTGTGACTCTGCAAGTTCTCGTTTGGCTTGGTCAAGCCTCAGAAGAGCAACAGGAAGTGCAGGAAGTGCAGGAAGTGCAAAAGAAGTGAAAGGTGGACAACACGTCGACAACGTTTTAGTGACAAAGCCATTGGAAGCGTTAGTTTGAAGCTGAGTGGGGTTGGTTTCCCGCTTTCGTCACAGGATTTTGGGGCACGGGCTGCTGCTGCAACTGCCGCGCCTTTACAGGCCATCTTCAAGTCTCTGTGCATGTGCCAGTATACCATGGTATACCTAGATTCAATACTATATTCTTCCATATTTTGGTGCCCAAAGCTCTTTCAGATTTCTGAATACAATCAACAGATACAGTATACAGCATAAAACGCGGCAGTAAAGAACTGAAGATTGGCCTCTTGCTGGATTCGTGCTCGGTCTTCCTGTTCCTGCCAGAACTGAATTCAAAGACATGGCCGGTCTGGTGGCCCATGCTATTGGAGCAGCAATCAAATCTTCTCAACGGTGGTCAACTACAATTTCCGCGCCGTTCCTGCCGAAGCCTTTCCGCCCCACAGTCAACAGCACGCACGCGGCTGGCACAGGCCAGCGAATGCGCCTGCATCAAACAAATCAAACCATCAATTGATCTGTTGCGTATATTGAGCATATTGAGCAAATCAACATTGAAACATTTGAAACTTAATGTTGACATCATATTCATAACCCACCCCCTTATATTGACAGAAAGGAACACTACCAGGGTCCCGTTTTACCACGCTCGTAGTTTTGTATGGTAGGTTCGCTCCTTGCGATGGCTGTATGATGTAGGCATATCCTTCGAGATATTTTCTGTTTTGATTGCGGTGGCCACAGGCCACCTTCATTTAGGTTGATCAAACTGTTTGATCAGCACCTTCCCTCACAGATTTTGCTTTCAGCATTCTCTTTCCATAGTCGTTCCATTTTGGCTGGTAGCATAGCATAAAAATAAAACGATACAAGTCACTGCTCTAAAAAGGTATTGCCAATGAGGGACATATGCAAATTTTCAAAACATGATGATGTGAAATGTATATGTATACTCTCTGCTTGTGAAGCTTGTATGTGACATTATTGCTAGGCTCCCTTTTTGCTTGCAATGTTGGTTTGTGGGAGGAACATATAGATGGCACTTGCAAGTTCAGGGTTGACACTGACCAGAGCACAAATGTATACAAATGTATACAAAACTGATTGCCAGGGTTCTTGCATCAGACTCTAAGTTTCTGGAGCTGTGCAGGTGATGGGTTGAACGTGATCACTGCTATGTGCAGGCAAGATTAATTTTGGCATATTCTATGATTGGGTATAAGTGATCTTACATATTCCATTTGCACTAAAAGGTTGGAAAACATAGGTTTGGACTGTACATAGGTGAGAAAATTGCTTGGTTCCATGCCTTTCCATGATCACTATTAGTTTGTGATGTAGTTTGCACTTGATTACAAGACTTGGTAGAGCATTGAGATCTGCGCTCACATTTTTGTTATTCTTTTTTTGGTGGCTCTTGTGATTCATGCCAACCATGTTGGTTCACACTGGAGAATCTTGGGATGAAACATGAGTATGTAGTTCTGTAAGGTCTTAACCTCTGATACAACCTGTGCAACTACAACTACCTGCGTCTCTCATGATGTTGCAAGGCTGTACTTTATTTGATTTTTGCTTGTAGAAACCACCAGATCTAAGCAATGGAAACAACAATTGCATGAGCAAATGTATGTGGTGATTTTAAAACGGGCACCTGTTTTAGCATATTATAGGTTGTCTCTTTAATCATGTTGGATATTGTAACACAACTGTGTATGTATATTGTTATATAATAGATATATGATATTATATATTCATATGAAGATTACATACAAATATTGAACTTGCTACTTGAGATGGGTCTACTTAATATTCTGTTTTTGCAGGAGAAAAAATGTAGAACTAAGGATATCAGCCCTATCTCCACCCCTACCATGCTATTCTATATAAACCTTACAGAACCAAATGAAATACAAAACGAATAACAAGGCAACAAAAAAAATAAAATTAAAAAAAAAAATAGAAAAAAAATCAAGAACGCTATAAACAAGAAAAAAACAAAAACATCACAAAACACCCTAAAAATGGAGCCCCCACAGCGTTACACTCTCCTCCCGTTGACGCTCGCGTAGCTGTTCATTGAGCTGCGAGGCCTGTTGCTTCTGCTCTGACTGTACCTGAAATGCGGAATCTGCAGGACCGCAATGTCTGGAAAATAGTTCAAAGATATTCAAAGAAGCGGTGACTCAAGATGCTGTTAAATCTGTTAATCAAAGGAATGAACTGTTCTTTCCAGACTCAACCAGTGATTCGGTAAGGCTGGCCTTTTGTGACTCTGCAAGTTCTCGTTTGGCTTGGTCAAGCCTCAGAAGAGCAACAGGAAGTGCAGGAAGTGCAGGAAGTGCAAAAGAAGTGAAAGGTGGACAACACGTCGACAACGTTTTGGTGACAAAGTCATTGGAAGCGTTAGTTTGAAGCTGAGTGGGGTTGGTTTCCGCTTTCGTCACAGGATTTTGGGGCACGGGCTGCTGCTGCAACTGCCGCGCCTTTACAGGCCATCTTCAAGTCTCTGTGCATGTGCCAGTATACCATGGTATACCTAGATTCAATACTATATTCTTCCATATTTTGGTGCCCAAAGCTCTTTCACATTTCTGAATACAATCAACAGATACAGTATACAGCATAAAACGCGGCAGTAAAGAACTGAAGATTGGCCTCTTGCTGGATTCGTCCTCGGTCTTCCTGTTCCTGCCGGAACTGAATTCAAAGACATGGCCGGTCTGGTGGCCGATGTTCTTGGAGCAACAAAAAAAATCAACGATGGTCAACTACAATTTTCGTTCTTTTGCATCGCTTAACCATGTTTTATCATCTTTTGATTTGTTTGCCTCAACTCAACGTTACCTGGTCTCACCCTCTAACCTGACTTGCCCCCGACGCAGTTCCTGCCGAAGCCTTTCCGCCCCACAGTCAACAGCACGCACGCGGCTGGCACAGGCCAGCGAATGCGCCTGCATCAAACAAATCAAACTAATGCATCAGCTGATCTGTTGAGTGAATGGAGCATATTGAGCAAATAAACATTGAAACAGGAACTTCTCACGCGCTCTTGATGTTACGCTCTGCACTTCTTCAAGGAACTTGTAACACGCTCATGATGTTATGTTCTGTACTTTTCTAAGTATTTTGAAACACGCTCTGGATGTGATGCTGTTGCCTGACTATGCCCCAGATTTATTTACATGCTTTTACCACAATTCCATTGTTTGTGAGTTAAAGTCATGGGATTCATGAGGATTTTAATGGTAGTCTTTGAACGCTTCCCTTCGCGAGGTTGGAGTGTATCAAAATTTAACTCACGTCCTGCAAAGCTTGTGGAACAAAGAAATACACACTTACAGATACAACATTGATAAAACGAAGTAGTTGTCGCAGGATTTGAGAGGGTCCAAAAAATGGACGAAAGCAGAAAACCCTGAGAAAACACAGGGAAAGTGAACTTGCAACGGTTGGAAAAACAGGCGGCGTTCTATCCGCTGCTTACCATGTAGTTTACTAAATCCTCTTTAGAGTAAATGACTTTTGCTATCGCAGCTCCTAAATAAAGCAGCGGACACCGAAATAAAGTGTTCCATTTGTTGGGACCTTCTTAAAGAACAAAAGAAACGTCAATTCTAATTCAACTTCAAACCAATTTAGATTCCATTTCAAATTCACAAGGAAACTTGTTCAATATGATTTGTATTTGTTTCTAATTAGGCAATTTGTCTGGCAATACCAAAGTGCAAAGGCTTTCTCAACATGTATATATCCGTTTTCAATTGGGCAATTTGTTCAGCAATACAAAGGAAACAATTGTGAAAGCGTCTTCAATTTTGCAATTTGTTCGGTCTCAACTTTATTACGACCCCTTCTTTGTTTGAAGTTTGGGAGGGTCACTAATGCGACGTGGACATTAGTCTATTTAAATCGATCTGTCTTCGCCATTGCAAAAGAAGCATCTGCAACGGCGCACCCGTTCCGTCATGGCTTGTTGAAGCTCTTTGAGTTTGGCCTGCTCTGACAAGAACTGAGATCAAAAAAGCGCACAGACAGTCAAAGATGATGAAAGACTATGAAAGGAATTGAAAGGAAATGTTCAAAGATATGCAAAACCAATACAGCTGCCCTAGCAACGTGTTGTCCTACCATGTCCTGTGTCCGTTGTCCCTGTGCCTCCAGCTGCTCCTTTTCCTTTTCTTCCTGCTGAAGCTTGCGTTCCAATTCTTTTCGCACCTGCTGGCTGCAAAATTTAGGTCAACGTGAGGTCAAACAAAACCCTTTGGGCCTCTGGATATCTGCCAGGTTCATGGCAAACTTAGGATACCCAAACCCAACTTCCAAGGGAAGGAAATATCAAGGATACCAAGTTACTACGGATTCGCCGCGATTCGCCTTCAGAACTCGGTGCGAAGCATCTAAAGATCGTTCATCAAAAGCCCAACGAATCTTGCCGCGCCTCATCAGACCTTGGGTCCAGTTCGGAGTTTGTAGGCTGCTCCTCGGCGACTTGCATATTTTGATGAATCATGATGAGCTGAAAAATGAATTGTAATATATTGTAATGAGTAAAAAATATCTTGGAAAATACTGTAAAGACTGACTTCACAAAGACACATCAAGTGACAGAAGTTGCAGATGTTGCAGGAATTGTTGCAGATCACAGCTCGAATCTCTCAACAGGACTCTCAACAGGAAAGATCTTAGGGACAGGTCCTCAGAGGACCGTCGGGCGTCCTGCCAAGTCGGTGTCGAATCATGTCAGATCGAAACTCGGCACATGGAAAGAATTAGAAAGATCTGACAAAAAGATATTCGAAGTATCGGAAAGTATCTGAGAGTCATCCTTATTGCACAAGTGCACAGCCGATTTGATGCCTCCAAAAGTGTTGCTAGGTCACCTGCAGCCTTGCGAGGATTCTGAGGCGGCCCCTGCCAGTTCCACAATAGTTGGAACATGTTGGAACAACATGCAACGAGTTCCAAAGTGTCTTGCGGACTTGCGGTGTGTCAAGTCATGGCGCCTCTAAGGACCACTGCTTCAAGGTTCGGCAGACCTGCAGCAGTGACTCATGGCTTACATGGCTGACATGGCTCGCCTTGTGCTGTGTGTTTCGAGCCTGTTTTATCACTCCATCCAAGTTGACCTGCGAAGGACAGCAACGGCCATGGTGAGGACTGGACAGTCACTATCAAAATGCAATGCAGAATACAAATCGGACACAAAAGGATCTACAAAAGGACATCAGGCAAAAAACGTGCAAATATACAGAAGGATATGTAACATATACATATCTAATATATATATATATATGTATGATATAATATATATATATATGTATGATATAATATATATATATGTGATTATAAATATAGTATATAGGATACGTCAAACGGGGCAAAAAGATCCAGAAAATCAAACTGTAAACTGATGAGACAATCATTGCCTCCATGTCTCGGGCGCGTGGCTCCACGGATGGGATTGCACTCAAAACAGAAGAGGGAAGAAGTAACTACGGATGGATGCCATGAAAATGTCATGTTACTTCTGTTAGGCCATGTTCCGCCGTCCAGATCATTTTGGGCCCTTTCTGTCATGGCTTCGTGAAGCTGCCAAAAAACTCTAGCATCAGTCTAGTTCGCCTTGAAAATCTTGAAATATGAGTTTAATAGAGTTTGATTATCTTATCTGAGAGCCTCAGAACCCTGTCTTGTTCTTCATCTTGCCTTGCAAAGCACTAAAAAACTAAGAGCCGGCCCAGGCGACAGACAGAATTGGACGGATGATCTCCAATGTCCCGCATTGGAGACAAATTGATACTTTCCGATTCATCAATTCATGTCGTCTTGGTTGCTTGTGTCATTCTGAATCGGTTTTACTCTTTGAATTAGAGCCAACAAATCCCAAGATTAAGCGAGACCACAGGTTTGAAAGCTGAGGTCTCAAACTGTGATTTCTTCAGGTCCAAGATGCCTGGACATTCGTTGCGATATTTTGCACCAATATAATTCTATCTATGTATTTATATATATATATATATCCGCCGACCCCGGCCGACGCAAGGGGGAGCGCGTAAGGGAAGAAGATGTACTGCACTACTACTACTACTGCTACTGTTACTGCTACTGCTACTACTACTACTACTACTACTGCTACTACTGCTACTACTCCTGCTACTATTACTACGACGACGACGACGCCGACGACGACGACGACGACT